GACACTAACTCTTATGGCTCTAGCACGTGGCGAGCAACTACAGCAACTACCTATCAAATCAAAACTCAGACTAAGAAGTGGCACCACTCAGTCACATGCAGGCCAAACCACAGACATACAAACTCTCACCATCCCCAAGTTACCTTAGCAAACAATAGATCATAGTCTTTCAATGATTTATCCCTTATACCCAACTTGCATAGGGCATAAGGCTAGACCACCCAAACTTATAAAACATGTCTAGCCCAGCCGTGAAGTATACACAAACACAGGGCACAACAACTTTTATCTTCTTTGGGCATATGACTAGGCCACCCGAGTCACCCTGAACTGTTTAAGTATCTCAAATTTATATAATTGTCTGCACTTAGTCTTTTGAGGCAGCATATACCTGAGCCGATCATCTTCAGCTCAAGACTCAGCCTGCCCCTTTCTACCACAAGTTTATTCTTAGTTAGATACTCTCTTCAGTTGGTGATAGGCTATAGTCAGACCACCCAAACTTATGGAACCCTGTCTGACTAGCCTGTTCATAGATAGTATAATAGTAGAGTATAACAAAGTTATAACCTTCTGGTTCCAGCATGTGCGAGGCATTGGACCAAGACCACCCAAACTTATGAAACATGTCTTGGTCCTCAGCCTGATTTCTCTTAAACCAAGGCAGGAAGAGGTAGAGTCACCCCAAACTTATGGAACATGCTCACCTTCTCGTTCAGAACCCAAAGAAACTGTCAAAAACCCCAAGTAAACAAGGCCGCCAGACTACCCAAACTTATGGATTTGACTGGCTCCTGAAAAACCAATCGCAATCAGCCCTCGCAAGTCAGAGCAACCAGACCACCCAAACTTATGGAACATGTCTGGTTCTCCAGGCAATACAAAATAAAACATAACACTGAGCCTTCCCAAACTTATGGAACTGACCCAGCCTTTGATTGACCCGGTCAAACTTCACGCAATACTGTTTTTCCCCCACCCTTCCCCCAGATGCAACCCCACAATCTGCTTTCAATCAGGCAAAGAAGCTGAAACTGATATTATACATGCGTTCCTTTACTTAGTCTGGTTACATTATGAAGAAGAAGTATAAATCATAGGGACATGCAAACATACATCAATCAAGCTATAGGGGGAATAGGCAAACATGGGTGTAGTGGGTTGTACTGGAAGAAGTGGTTTACCTGATGGTTCCCTGCCTCCAGAACCTCGCCTAGGTCCCGGCAGAGCTCCCGCAATCGGTGGGATGACTCCCCACAGAGTCTTGATGCGGACCTATGGGTTGCAATCCCACCTGCCGCCTTCCTCTCATAACCAACAGACTAAACTTAGAGTAAGAAGGGCAGAAAGAGAAAGGTTGAGACTCTCAGACTCGCGTGAGAGGGCCTTGTTACCTTCGGTCGCTTGAGGGCCCCGCAATGGCGGCCAACTGACACCTTGGTCAACGATGCCCAACTGCCGAGGTAACCTCTCCTGCCGAACCTCCAAATCGTAACATAAACCCTCCCTTTCGAAGTATGAGCCTCACTCTGACTTCCCTCACCTTCCCTTAGCCCTTCCACCGTTACACAGCCGCCTGCGCCAGCATAGAAGCTTTCAACAGCAGCTCGCAATGGTATGCAGCAGTCTATCCGCAGTATGCAGCAGTGCGCAATGGTGTGCAGCAGTCTATCCGCAATGTGTGGGCGTAACCGCTGTCCGCAACAGCCAATCACACGCAGCAATTGCCAGCCATAACCATCTGCCGCAGCCTGCATTAACTAGTAGTGGCCGTCGTTGGCCAATAGCAGCGCCCAACAACTTGCATCAGTCAACGCGCAGTAGTAGCCTGTGCCCAACTAACAACAGCCCTCCCCAGTACCCTGCGCACAGGCTGTAGATGCAGTAGGCAGCAGCTGTCACCCGTAGCAGGTTATACACAGTCTGCCACGCAGGCCACCGAGCAGCACACTGGCCAGCATCTTCCCTGCAGTTTTTCAACAGTTAGCTGAGCTCATACAACCATTGCCTGTAGTAGTTAGGGAACCGAGGTAGTGTGTTGTCCTTGGTGCGCTCTGCACAGCGTCCCTGGGCGTTGCGTCTTTCAGCGGCCTCAGTACCCAACCCCCCACAGTGTACGAGCCCGGTCATTGGTACCCAGTCCACACCACCCTTACTCATCAACAGGCATAGTACCCTCCACAATCTCCAACACAGGCGCCCACATGCCCGGTGTTCCCCACTGAGGTACTCACACTGACACCCAAGGGCCCGTTAGCGAGGACGTTGTAGCCCTGCTAGCTAGAGTAAAGCTCAACGATCCCGACATGTTCCCAGCACACTAGCCCTGAGCCCCATTGAGGCAGCACTAGAGGAGACAAAGCAATAGAGTTGAGCACAACAGTGAATAAGAGGTAGTACAGTCGGTAATAGACTCACAGTAATCCGCGGCTGACTATAGCTTACTGCTACAGTTAGCTGAGTCAGTTGAATCGTGTAACGGTGCTGGTTCTCATATTGCAATGGCACCTCGACCACCCGTTGGCTCAGCTTCTCAAGGAAGTCAGTGCCCCAGCGTGCTCAACTCTCCCCTAGTAATAGGCACGGCCACCGGACATGGCTTAGACGCCACAGTCCTTATTGCTTCAGAATACGGCACCGCATCTCTTCCTCTGGTAAGGCAGACCCCGTCCGAAGGATTCCTCCACTCGAACCCAGGCAGAGGCACCGGTACAACGACCTGGTTCGCTCGTAGGTAACAACGGCCCCTTCGCTGAACCCTCAGGTAGCACTTTGACGAGTTCCTGATGAGTAAGCTTGCTTCAATGAATCGTGCCCGCTGGTCGCACGCCCCCCTTTCCTTGCTTGTGAAGGCACCCAACCGCCTGTATGGCCAGGTTCACTCGTAGTCTCGATCTGGTGCCTTTGAACAGAGGGCAACACCACCAGCCCACCCACCGGGTTACTGAGCAATTTGGTGCTGCAGCCGGCCTTCGGGTTCCCTTTCACTTCCCACCCCGAGGTAAGAGTTCTCTCTCCCTCTTTCTCTGCTCGCGCATGTGGGCCGTCATAACTGCGCTATGCCACTATGTCAGCCGGTCCCGCGATCATGACTTCGCGAGGCAGCGGTGATGAGCAGCGAGCGACTACTGTTAATGAAGCGCCTTCTCTCCCTCGGCCCGTTGTGATGGCCCCGCCCCGCAGTCGCACATCCTCCCTCCAACACGCTGGGTAAAGTTCGAATGGATCTTTCGCTAAAATGTGGATAGATTCACCCGAGATCGGTAAGTCACGCCCCCTCCCTGTGGCGCAGCTCCTAACACCGCTCCTAGCCGACGTACTATCTTCTATGCAAAACTGCTACTATTACCACTCTCACGAGTCACAACACTCATAACCCCGACTTATCACATCGCCTTGCTCCCTTCTATGGAGGGTTGCACGGTACAACGCTCCTTCACCCCGCCATATCCCTTTAGTCCATCACTTTCACACACCCCGTTCTTGGTGTAGCTCCTCCCTCCTTGCCTTTCCCTCTAAGCTGGGTGCGGGATCGAGGTCGCTTGGGTCAAAACTCGAGGGGACGAATCCTTGGTCACCCGATTCTGCCAAGGGTCAAGCGAACTGCTAAAATCTCAAGTCCGCCATATCCCACCTCCTTCACTGCTTGTTTCTTCGAAGTGCGCCCCGATTCGGCCCCCTCTTTGCGGACGTATCCGGCGCGATCCCGTACCAGATTCGGGTTGTCTTTCCCTTTGTGCGGTCTTTGCCTCTCGTATTGCCTTCCTCGTTCACCTTGTCCCCTCCGGCATCACGGCTATCTCCCTCCGCCTATGATCGGGTGCTAGCCCGAATTCCACTTCAATACCGACAGCAGAACGTTAGTAGCGAGTGCCGAAACTCATCGCGGAGAGCACATTGGCAACGCCCAATGCTAGGGCGCGCGGTCCTTACCCGGCTGTTCGGGCCCGCCCAATGTCTCGGCAGTCGGGAGCTCTGCGCAGTGACTGCTCTTCTCCCCATCGCCCCCCGCATCATCCGCCTTCGAAGTCGCTGTAACAGCGCTTCCGCACGGTCCACGTAAAATAGCTGGTCGACTCGCTGCCACAGCCTGACTTATACCTTTGGTCGACGTCGACCTTCCCTTCCCTCCGGCTCTCAGCACCGACATCCCTACTTGGTCCCTCACAACCGAATCCACGGGAACCGGGGCCGGGCATTGCCTATTCCACGCAGCGGGGTTCACCTTGGCCTACAGGTTTCAGCCCATCAAGGGACTTTGGGCAGCCTATGGTGGCCAATACCTCGACCTCCAGGGACTGTCGCAGCTGCGACCTATAACACACCTACTAGTCAATAATAAGGAAAAACCAAAAAGAAGGAAAAGAGGAAATAGCACATAATAATAATAATAATAATAATAAAAGAACTACCGTGATTGGGGATAAAACGCATGCCTTATAGGCACCCCGCCAGCCCCATACGTCGGCCCCGTTATCGCGCCCATCAGCAAAACTGAGGGGGATAGCCCCGTCGGGCCCTCAACCCCTCAGTTTCCTCTAAGATGCTCCGCCGCTCCCACGCTGCCGCCTGCTGGCCTCGTACCCGATATCTCTGCCGTGTAAACCCGGTACCGTAACCTATAGGGCTAAGCCCAAGCCTGGTATGGCCTCGTGCAAAATCCTATATACAGTGGTGTACGCACCCCCTAGGTCTAGGAAATAGCCCGGCCTTCACTCCCTCTTCTAGCTACGCACGCTGCTGCTAGGCACCGGCACTGGCCTATCCCCTCGCACCGTAGCCACCCCGCGCTCTGCCTAGTATATCAGGCCTATCAGTGGTCAACCGTCCAGAGGAAAAGTAAGCTCTTTATACCAACTAACCAAAAACGGGCCGGCTACGTATGTCGGTCGCATAATTAAAAAAAACAGAGAAATCACACGCGCGCCTTAATCCTGCGCGCCCACTCACGCCCTACCTTGGTCAACCATCCCACCTATGTAATCAAGCAGTCTTAGCCGCGACTCGCGTGGTACACTAGGACTTATAGACTTACTTCCTGTCAAGTGCAAAAACTAGGGCGGATACCCTTGTCAGGGTATTCGCACCGACACCAGTACTCTAGGTCGATGAAGGCAGCCGCGCAGTGCAGCTCGCTCCTCATGAAAGACCACCGATGCATTAGAATGTCCTCAATGTCGGACTTCTCACCCGGGGTGACACAGTCAAGGCCATACATTCTCTTGACGAGCGCATCTATCTCGAAGTAGACCTTCGACATTGTTGCGTCTGGCCCGTCGACCAGGAGCAATAGCTCCACAACAAGAGACATCACTGCAATGGCCTTGTCCACCTTGTCCCAAAACCTGTCCCGTCCGAGCACGATGAAGGTTACCTCACGGAAAGCAGCGAGCTGATTTGCCCTCACCATCTTGTCCATCCACGCCGTGTCGCGGATGCACTTCTCCAGTGCATTCCTCCCTCTATGCAGTGAAGCCAGCATGTCGTGACTTGTGGCAAATCGGGTAACCGCCGACCGCTTCAACTTCAAATTCAGTGAGAATTTATCGTACAAAGCCCTTGCCTTGTCCACATTCGTGAAAAATTTGCCGACTGCATTCCCGGCGTCGATGACCGCCGCCAGCCAACCGAGTTGCTTGTACATGTCCTTGAGTGCTAGATCGAGGGCATGCGCAGTGCAACCGACACAAAAAATTTGAGGGTAAGCGGCCTCCACCATCTTACCCACCTTCACACACACCCTTGCGTTGTCCATGACAACACCGATCACCGCGTTCGACCGGATCTCCTTCATCACCCCATCAAGGATCTTGAAATACATCGCCGCGTCCTTGTCTTTCCCCTCCATGTACACCGATTTCCAAAAAACGGTCCCTATCGCGGATGACACCATCACATTCGGATGGGGGTGGTTGCGTCTGTCAGACCAACCATCCATCTGAAGCATGCAGCCGGTGACCTGCCACTTCGTGATCATGTCGATCACATCTGCTTTCGTCCTTCCGAACGCGCCGTTCAGCCTCTTCGTTCGTGCCTCGTCCCTATGGTACGACAACCATGACGGATGTGCCTTCATCGTTGTCGACGAGACTGAAGGGCTGGTTCGTGCAGAACAGGAAGTTATCAAGGAAGCGGCTCGTGTGCTCATTACGAGTAATGATGCTGTCCGCATCCTCGACAAGTGTCTGCCTCATCGGCCGGCCTGTTCGGGGTGCTGCAGGGCCGGTCTCCCCACAAGCCGCCACTGGCAATTGTACTCTGCCAACATCCGCCGTTCCACTGCCAACACCCGTAACCAGACTGCTAGCAGATGGCAGATTGCTTGTCGATGCAGAACTCTTCCCCCCCGTTTCAATCAACTCTGCGAGGTGCTTCCCCATAAATCCCCTCCGCCCTTCTCGCCCTCTCCTCAGCTGACAACAGTCTAATTAGGAGGTCTAGGCTGCACCTGTTCAGAAAGTGATTTCGCAGATTTGACGCAGTCCCGTCAAATCGGGTCTCGCAGTAATTGCAGACCCAATGTTTTGACCCCTTTCTTAGGTTCCTCCCCACGGGATCATCGTCCCTGAAGTGCTGCTTCAAGTCCTCAACCAGTTGCTTCGGAAGCGCGGGCGCCATTGCTGCTGTCACCTGCATCATGGGGAAGGCCACGATGTCGAATGCTGGTCAGCCCCTCGAATGACAAATCATCCCCCTCGTCCATCTCCCCCCTCTACCCTTTCAGCCCCCTCGAATGTGCGACATCCTAGTGGGAATACCCCAAAAAGAAAGGAAAAATAAAATAAAAATAGGAGGACAAGAGAGAGAGAGAGAGAGAGAGAGAGAGAGAGAGAGAGAGAGAGAGAGAGAGAGAGAGAGAGAGAGAGAG